GGAGGGGTGCCTCAGCGGCCGTGAACCTCCCCCAAGAAGCATTTGCTGCAGCTGCGTGCCCCACGGGGAAGAGAAGCAGCCTCCCTGGGACTGAGGGGTCCGAGAGGGCCCAAAGGAAGGGGACGGGAGGGGAGGGCTGCACACGCTTGAGGGGGAGCAGTCGGGCTGTCTCTCCTCCCTCTGCAAGCCCTTCGGGGCCACCTTCCCTGCCGTTGCAGAGCCTTACCTGGACTGGCCACCAAAGCAGCTTGTGCTGGACGCCTGGGGCCTGTTCTCAGGGGATGCAGCCGGGCCCCCAGAATCCCTCCCGGCTCCCTGGGGCCCTGAAAGAGCAAGAAGCCGGGGAAAGGCCCCGCAACACACGGAGCTGAGCCTGGAGGGCTGCCTCCCGGGCAAGGCAGCCACCCCAAGGGGCGGGCAGAAGACGCACTCGGGATTCTTCGGGGGAGCCTGGAAGGGTCTCCCAGGATGAGGCTGGCAAGCTGCAGGGGCCTCAGGCAACTCATGCAAGTTGGACCCCTCCCTCCCTCCCTCCCCCCCTGGGCCGGAGCTCCCCGGCAGGGCTAGGACCCCCTCCCCAGAAGCCACCGGTTGCACTGGCAGCCCCCAAACGCCTGGAGATGAGGAGCATCTGCCCAGCGCTCCCTCAGCCCCCTGCCCAGATGCTCCTCCCAGGAGAAAGCCGCTTGAGGGAGACGCTGCCACCTCGCCTCTGGAGGGCTCAGCCTCATGGGGCACGAGGCCTCCCTCCACGGCTCCGCAGGGAGCATCTGCTGCTGCTGCTGTTGCAGAGGCCGGGGCAGGGAGGACCACAGCTGGCGGGACCCAGCCCCATCCCACACGCAGGGCTGGCTCACCTTCGGCCGCGACAGGGCCGTTCGGCAGGCTGCCCACCTCAATGCCAGGCCCGTCCAGGAAAACCATCAGCTCGCCGCCCGAGAGAAGGCCGCCTTTGTTCTCTGCCTGCAGGTTCAAGGTCAGCGGCTTGTTCTCCACTGCGAGGGCGAAAGCCATTGCCTGTCAGAGCCCCTCAACAATGCCCACGCCTGCTTCTCCCCAGGCATCTGCCCTCACCCTCACCAGTTGCCAGCCCTTTACCATCCTGCGGAACCCACTGCCTCTCCATCACCCCCGACCGGTCCCCCTTCCGGCTGGACCCACCATCTGGAGCCAGCAGGAGCCCACCTGCTCCTCGGGGCCCGTTTCCAATTGCGCAGGGCAGATGCCCGGCCCTGAGCACTCCTGGAAAGCAGGGAGGGCGCTGGGGGCCCGGCCTGAGTGGCTTTTGCCCCACATCTTCCTTTCCCAAATACGGCAGCTTCTGCTCAGGGAAGCCTGCAGACCGGGCCTCCCAGTGACCCTACGCTGGCCTGGTTTCCCGAGTCCCAGGTCCAGAAGGGAGCCCAAGCAGGTGCTCTGAAGGCATCTTCTTTCACGCCGGGGGAGATGCCCCCTGCCCCCCGGCTGCTGGTGCCACCCAGATCCTTTGCCCACACAAAGACAAGAGGTCCCTCTCCGCAGGCTGAGGGCTCAGCGCACCCCCATAAGAAAAGCAGTGCTTGCGAGCCCCACTGGGGCACCAGTGGCTACGGCTGCCGAACGAGGGGTCCCGGGAGAGACGCGCACAAAGGCAGGCTGTGTCTCGGCAAGCAGAGGGGAGAGGGCCGTGGAGCCTTGAACCAGGCCTCGATTCAGGGCCTCCAAGCAGCACGGCTCCCTTTCGGCTGGGACTCCCACCAGGGGAGGGGGCAGGGGGAGGGAGCGCTCTGGCAGCAGCCGCAGCAGCGGGGAGCGCAGGGGAGGCCGGGGCCAGAACGGACCCCAGGAAAGAGGAGCCGAGCTGGAGTTGGGGAGAGCGCACCTTATAGAATGGAGATTTGGTCTAGAGAGAAAGGGCAAAATTCTGAATTTTAGGCTGGGGGGCAAGAAGGGGCATAGGATTTGGAAAGTGTACATAAAATCATCTCAGAATTGCAACTAGTCACCAACTGGTACGTCAAAACTGCCAAAAAGAGAAAAAACCCAAAAGCAATTTCAGGAGCACGGTTTGCAAGTCACAAGAAGCTGTATCATCTCCCTTTTCTAAGCAGCATTTGAGCTCTCTTCTCGAAAACCCCATTCAGCGTCGATTCTATATTTTAGGTTTTGGATACGCTGGATCAGGTTCCAAAGATCTGGAAATCCAGAGGTGCTCGGTGGAAAGCTGGAAGGAGCCAGCTACGCTGAGCGAGAGATGCAGCAGCCTGCAGCCCCTCCAGAGTTCTGAAAGGCTGCTGAACAGCTACGTGTGTCAGGAAGAGAAAGAACGGGCCCCAGTGCCCGTTTTCCACGGGGTGCCGTCCTGGTGGCAGCCTGCCCTGCCTGGCCAGGAGAGTCCTCAGGTGAAACTGCAGCCTGCAGGGCTGGCATCTGGAGGAACAACCCAGCCATTGCTCAGGAGCCCCCCTGCTTGCATCCAGTTGCTGGCAGGTTGGTGAGGGGGCCCCAGGGCAGCTTCCTCCCACCTCCTTGCTGGACAGGAAGCAACTCCAGGCCCTGGCCCGAGCTGTAAAAGCAGGGGAGAGGGGATGTGGGAAGGGGGTGCCCAACACACCCCCTCAACGCAATCTGAGAAGTGGGACAGGAAGGACTTTGTGCTCTGCAGCCTGGCAGGCCCCAAGCAGGTCTTCCTCCTGCAGACCTGGCTTGTTTTTCCACAACACCAGACACACACACACAGACGCGCACATACACCCGAGCTCTGGCAAGCCAGGCACACCCTCCTCTAGGTACAACCAGGATTGGGAAAGCAAGTGCCCCCTCAACCTTGGCCCAGGGCCTCCCCCCAGCCATCACTGGGCTCGCAAGGCGGGAAAGGGAGCACCGCCCTCCCTGCCCAAGGCCCAGGAACAAAGAGGGCCTCTGCCAGGAGGTGGCAAGGTCGTGAGCCGCAAATGAGGCGTTGGAGGGGGCCTGGGCAGGATTCTCCCCTGCCCAAGCTGCAAAGGGCTATCCGGCCGAAACCCGAGAGGCCACCGAGGAGCAGAAGGGGCCAAAGGGCAGCCTTGGAGTCAGTGAAGCTGCTCAAGGAACAGGGCAAGTGGCAGGGAACGGCGGAAGTCCCCAAGAGGGGACTCAGCAGGACATTCCCAAAGAGCTTGTGAAGGTCTCTGCCCCAGGAGGATCAAAGGCAGCTCCTGGGGCTTCCCTCCCTGGGGCCATCAAAGTTTGGCCAGGGCAGGTCATTCATCAAGGACATCCGAGAAGGAGAGTCTAAGCCCAAGGCCGCCAGCAGCTCAGGTCAGTCCACCCCTGAGCCTGCTTCCCCCATCCAGCGGTGTCCCTGCACTTAGCCGGAGCATCCGGCTGACCGGGAAGAGCCCTTGGATTGGGGCTGTCCATCCCGGGCAGGGCCTGGAACGGGGAGCAAAGTCAAGGGCCAGACACCCTTCCATGGAGGGATCATCGGCTTCCTCCTCCTCAGCTGCCCCTCGCTGGTGCCGTCGCCATCCCAAAGGCTTAGGGATGGAAAGCCAGCGAGCGATGGAGCAGCCAGGCCTCCCCGTCACCCAGGATCCCCTCCATTCTGGGTTACATCAGCTGGGAAAGTATGCACAGGAGAGACCTGGGGCCGGACTGTAGCTTTAAAGCCTCCACTTGCAGCCGAAGCCAGGGAAAATTCCATCCTTTTTCTGTATCTGGCAGAATTTTTTCCATTTGCTTCCCCAAGCTGCCTCTCAACTTATGAAAGGAGCACTGTATCCACAGAGGAGGAGAAACGTTCAGGTGAGCGATGAGATGGGAAAAAGGCAAGGCTTGCTCTCTGTCCCCAGACGCCTAAATGTGTCTCCAGGCCAGGCAGGGTGGCCCCAAGGGCCCCCAACGCTTCCAAGGGCAGCTGGGGCTCCAAGGAACCCCACACCCGAGGGCCCAGAGGTACCCTGTTCTCAATCTCTCCCTCCCGTCCCAATCGACACCCCAGTCCCAACAGGCGGAGATCTCCAAGGAGGCAGGCCAAGCCCAGGCAGCCACTGCCGGGCCTCAGAAGAGCGGGGTCTCCGCTCCACGCCCTCCCCATTTCCCCCCAGCCCAGCACCGTTTTCTCTGCACCAGAGCCAAGGAGGCGGGGATGGGAGCCGGGCTGAACAGACAGATGCTGCACTCCCCCTGAATGGAGACCTTTATGCAGCACAGCTGCTGAGGGCCACCCCAGAAACCGCCAAGGGGGGCAGCAGACGGCTGGGAGCCAGAAGGGGCCAAGCCT